GGGGAGATCAAAGATCTCCTTCACTAGCCCACAGGCACTGTAACACTGCCGCTGGCTGAGGGAGGGAGAGGAAGACCCAGTGGTGCTCTACCCTGCAGCTCCGCCGGGTTCTTCTCGTGAGGTTGGAGTGTTGCCGCGGTTACCACGGCAATGTTCAGATCTCGCAAGAGTGAATTCTATCCCATGAACTGCAGGGTAGAGTACACTCACCACTAGGACCACCAGGGACTGCAGCACGGCCCTCCTCCATGGCAGCACGGCTCATCCTGCCAGGCTAAAGGTAAGAAGGGAGGGGGGATATAAAATTTAGTTTTTTTAATAAAAAATAATAATAATATATTTACATCTCCACCCCCACACACAAAATCCCTCCAGACATATTCACACACACAGCACACACATAGCACACTCACACACATACACACACACACACACAGCACCCTCACACTCACAGCACACAGCACCCACACACACACAGCACCCTCAGACAAACACACAACACATTCACATTGACAGCACACTCAGACACACTCACACACAACACCCTCACACACAGCACCCTCACACTAACAGCATACTTACACACACAGCACACTCAGACACAACACCCTCAGACAAACACACAGCACACTCACACACACAGCACACTCACACTAAATACAGAATCTAGCGGACTCGCCTATTCACTAAACAATTATTTCCTTGTTTAGTGAATAAGCGAGTGCGCTGGATTCTGTATTGCAGAGAGTCCCAGTAAGGAAGTATTTCCCAAGTAAGTGGATTAATCTCATAAGAGCAAGCATTAGGCTGCTAGAGTAGGACCTGCCAAGAATGGGGTACATTGATGCTGTGGCAGGCTTATGCAATATATGATCATATAATGTAACTAAACCCCCATTATTTTTTGCCTAGGTGAGGTGTTTTTAAATAAAACTATTACAATCTCTAAGGTTTGAAATCATTGTTTAGTGAATAAGCGAGTGCTCTGGATTCTGTATTTTGTATATTTTGGCCCCAGCAGCACCCTATAATGTAAGCATGTTCAGGTGAGTGCAGCCCTCTTGGTTTCTTTTATATATTTGGGAGTCCAGGTCAACTACTTGGTGTTGCACCCCTCTCTGTCACAGGTGCCTCATTCCAGGATCCTATTTAGCCATGACTTGCAGAGTGTCCCAGTAAGGAAGTATTTCCCAAGTAAGTGGATTAATCTCATAAGAGAAAGCATTAGGCTGCTAGAGTAGGACCTGCCATGAATGAGGTACATTGACGTTGTGGTAGGCTTATGCAAAATATGATCATATAATGTAACTAAACCCCCATTTTTTTGCCTAGGTGAGGTGTTTTTAAATAAAAACTATTATAATCTCTAAGATTTGCAATCATTGTTTAGTGAAGAAGCGAGTGCACTGGATTCTGTATTTTATATATATAAATATATATATATATATATATATATATACTACAGCACCCCTCACACTGCACCACTACACACATTACACTCCAGATACACGCTAGATCCCTTAGCCAACTCTGGATCATCTAATCTACACACACACACATACACTCAGTAGATCCCTATATACACTCTAAATCCTCTGCACACACACACACACACACACACACACACAATCACCTATACACACTCTGGGTCCTTTACACACTAGATTCCCTACACACACACACACACACACACTGCACCACCTACACACACTACAATCCTGACATCAAACTCTGGATCCCCTATGCACACACTACATTCATTGTTAGCAAACACATGCTACATTCTCTAAACACACACTCTCTACAACCCCTACACACACTACAGCCCGTATGCACACACTCGCTACATCCCCAATTCACACTATGCCCCCTATACACACACACTCTCTACAGCTCCTAACATGATACGCTTTCCTGACCATTTTGTTCTCTGGTATCCTTCTTATGGGGACACCAGAGACAAGTTAAAAGCAAACACACCGCAAGCATGTTATTAAATTTGCTTGTGCTGCGCCAAACAAATACAGGGCCTTTTCTCATGTTAGAGCTCTTCAGCAGGGCTCTGCGCATTGAACTAACATGCTCACTTTGAGAGGGTGCATGCTTGCCATTAGTGATGACAAAACACACCCTCTTCTCAGAGGGCCGCTGTGATTGAAAAATGCTTGGGCCAAATTTTTTCCCAGTCCAGCCCTGCATATATTGCTCTATAAGTGTGGGGGATGACAGCTTTCTTCCCATAATAAAGTGTTGCCTGCTGTTTTCTTCCTAAATCATGCTGTTAAGATGGATTTATTTAAATTATTTTATTCCAAATGTAGATATAAGAAATATATCTTGGTTATCTTTGTGAACTTCAAGTTCCACTCATTCTTAACCAGACTTTTGTCAAGACATGACACAATTCCCACATTATTATATAGATGTCAACGTATGAAGGGATACATTTAGTCCCTGTTGCAGTGCTACATCTTCAGAGATAGGAATCCCCATCAAACATAAAAAATTATGTGTTACCAAAAAAGTGAGACTTTCTATCATAAATTCTCTCAATTTAAAAAAAAAAATAGAGAATCTTTCTGGAAAAAGAGAAGTCATCTCTATTCCTTGTTGATGTGGCATGGAGGAGTATAATTCAGTTCTAACCATCGATACTTTCTATCCAATTTTAAACATGCCATTTGGGATAAAGCATGTTTTGAATCCCTTAAATAGCTTTTAGATTTTTGTATCAAAGGTTGCAGCTGTTTCAGATAAATTCAGATAAATCTTCTCCCAAAGTTCCTATCCCAGATATTATGGGATGTCCCGGAGGTTCTGCCTTGAATTTGTGGATCTTTCGAAGATGTAAAAATAGACTTTGCAGAATTAGGCCTAAACATATATTACCCTCATCTTTTGAGGATTCCCAGAGACTCTCCATATGAGACTAACTGTCCTATTAAAGACTGCCCTGTCAGTGAACCTGTGCCCGCTTAATGAGCTGATACCAGTCTGTTATGCTCTTGTATAGGGATGAGCAAACCCGAACTGTAAAGTTAGGGGTTCGTACCGAACATTGCGATTTTTGGACCCCGAACCCGAGCCTGGACATTTCAGTGACAGTTCGGGTTCGAGTTCGGTGTGATTTAATGGCGCTTTTTGAAAAGCTGCAGGGCAACCAATCAACAAGCGTTTGACTTGTGTGCCCTTAGAAGCCATCACAGCCATGCCTACTAATGGCATGGCTGTGATTGGCCAGTGCAGCATGTGACCCAGCCTCTATATAAGCTGGAGTCACATGAGGGAGAGGATGCTGCAACTGTGAGGGACAGATTAGGAAATAATTCTGGTGTTGAATCTGCAAACTACAGCGATTATTTTTGTGGGTGCTATACTACATTTTTGTACCCTGCCCTGAGCCCAGTGCCACAGAGAAATAAGCAATCAGTCTGTTTGTTAGGTGGGCACTTGCAACTGCATGTGTGCCAGGCACGTTTCTTTAATCCTGTTCTGGTAGCTCAGTGGGCAACATCTAGGCATTTTTAAATACTGCTGTGATATTGCAGTTTGACAAATTCGAATTTTTTTGGTGCTAAATAGTACATTTGCTGCCTGCGGTGCACTTCATATCTGAGAGTCAAATAGAACTGTCAAATACTGTGGTTACATCACACTTTGAAAAATTCTCATTTCTTTGGTGCTAAAAAGTAAATTTTCTGCCTGCGGTGCACTTCATATCTGAGAGTCAAATAGAACCGTCAAATACTGTGGTTACATCGCACTTTGAAAAATTCACATTTCTTTGGTGCTAAATAGTACATTTGCGGCCTGCGGTGCATTTCTTGCAGTCCAATAAAACCCTTAAATACTACTGTTACATTGTTGGTTTAAAAAAATCACACTTTTTTGTGCTAAATAGAACATTTGCGGCCTGCGGTGCATTCTTGCAGACCAATAAAAATAAAAATAAAAATAATCACTGGAGAGAAAGAGGAAGTTCCCCCCTATCCACCCGCTATCCCTGGCCCTAAATGCCAGCATTTCAAAATTCCTGGCCTTTGAAATGCTGTCATTCTGTCTGCTGGAGACAGACAGTTTTAAAAACAACAGTACGTGGTTCTCAGCCGCCACTACTTTACCAGGCGAGCCATCCCTTCCCTGCACAACCAATTGGTGGACAAAATCAGGTGTGCACTGCGCAACGCCATCTGTGACAAGGTCCACATAACCACTGATACGTGGACCAGTAAGCACGGGCAGGGACGCTATATCTTCCTAACTGCACACTGGGCAAATGCTGTGCCGGCTGGGCCTGAGGCGATAGCAGTTTGGTGCATGTCCTTCCGCCACCGAGGATTGCAGGGCATTTCACTTTGCCTCCTGTTGCTTCCTCCTCCTACTCTGTTTCCTCCTCATCTACCACCTCCTCATCTGGTCAGCGTAACACCTTCACCATCAACTTCAGCACAGCCAGGGGGAAACGACAGCAGGCTGTTTTAAAACTCATATGTTTGGGGGAAAAACCCCACACCGCGCAGGAGCTGTGGACAGTCATGGAACAACAGACTGATGAGTGGTTGTTGCCACTGAGCCTCAAGCCCGGCCTGGTGGTGTGCGATAATGGGCGAAATCTCGTAGCAGCTTGACGCACATGCATTGCCTGGCGCATGTACTGAATTTGGTGGTGCAGAAATTCCTGAAAAACTACCCAGATATATCAGAGCTGCTGCTGTGCTCCGTCTGTGCGCGCTTTCAGTGCTCTCACACTGCTGCTGCTCACCTGTCTGCGCTGCAGCGTAACTTCGGACTTCCCGCTCACCGCCTCTATGCGATGTGCCCACAAGGTGGAACTCCACCTTGCACATGCTGGAGAGACTGTGCGAGCAACAGCAGGCGATAGTGGAGTTTCAGCTGCAGCACGCACGGTTCAGTCTCTCTGCAGCAGACTTGCCCTCCAACAGATTCTCGTTAAAGGATTTAAAGTGTACTCATTCCAATTACAGGGCCTCAAAAGTTTCGTCACTACCTCCCCGCGTCTGGAGTGGGTAATTTGAGCACCTGCTGCCTTCCTTGGATGTGTTAGCCGTTTCTCAGGCTCCCTCTCCAGAATCGAACCCTGATTCCCTGTTACCCGTGGTCACCGTGGTAGGCGCAGAAAGTACCATTGAAAGTTGAAAGGGCAGACATCCGAATGCGTTGTCGCCGTCACGGGGACGTGCAATCGGCCTGAGGTTATCTAGAGTCACCAAGTGCCTGCGCAATGACTGCCGAGTTGCCCACATTCTAACTTGTGCTGATTACTGGGTGGCCACCCTGCTGGATCTCCATTACAAGGACAATGTGCCGTCCTTAATTCCCTCACTGGAGCTTGATTGGAAGTTGCTGGTAGACGCGCTGCTGAGGGCATTCCCAACTGACACCGGGGGCTCAGTGGAAGCACAAGGCGCGAGGAGGAAGAAGAGGTCGCCAACGCAGCTGGGGCACCGCCAGCACCTCAGAAGGCAGGGTTAGCATGGCTGAAATGTGGAAAAGCTTTGTCAGCATGCCACAACAACCAGCACCACCAGCTGGTATGGAACGTCTTAGCAGGAGGCAGCATTTCAGCAACATGGTGGAACAGTACGTGTGCACACGCCTACACGTACTGACTGATGGGTCTGCCCCATTTAACTTCTGGGTCTCCAAATTGGGCACATGGCCTGAGCTTGTCCTTTATGCCATGGAGGTTTATGGCCTGCCCTGCAGCCATTGTATTGTCTGAACGTGTGTTTAGCACGGCAGGGGGCGTTATCACAGATAAGCTCAGCCGCCTGTCCACAGCCAACGTGGACAATCTCACGTTTATTAAAATGAACCAGGCATGGATCCCACCAGACTTGTACCTTGTGCAGAATAGACATTTATACCGGCCTCACCCAGCCATTGTTATACTTAAGTGCACTTATTCTTTGTTTTCTTGTTTTATATGTCCCAATATTTTGAGGGCTACCCAAATTGTTTGCAGGCCACTTGTCCTACTCTTACCCCCATTTTACTTCCTTTTGCAGCCCTCTAGCCCTTTCCAGGACATTTTTAGAGCCATTTTAGTGCCCAAAGATTCGGGTCCCCATTGACTTCGGGTTCGGGGTCAAGTTCAGGTCAAGTTCGAGGCCGAACTCGAACTTTTTTCCGAAGTTCGGTTGAACCCGGCGAACCTGAACATCCAGGTGTCCACTCATCTCTACTCTTGTACCTTGCATTTTTCTACTAACTAAGTTTTTCAGGTCTCAGAATCTACAGTTCAACTCAGAACTGATTTTCCATTTATCTCACTGAGAATTCCTTCAGAATCTACAAATTGGATACTTATACTCACCTTGTTTACTGCATTTCTACATTGGACTAAGCTGCTCAGCTGCTGAAAGATAAATTAACTCTCTTTTTTGCATTCGACTACAGCCATCGAGTTTTGCAGCCTCTATTTATTTATTAAGTGTTCTTGCATAGCAAGACCACTTAATGTTATCTCACATATATATATATATATATATATATATATATATATATATTATTCTTATTATTATAGCCAAATTTACCACCCTAACTCCTCCCACAGTTTTTACACTACATACACAGCAATATACCATAACGTGCGGATTGTTCCCGATTGGTGTGCTATTACTTTGTGGAACGTTTCGCCGAATGGTTCACGGAATATCGTTGTTCTTGTGGCGAAATTGGTCCCATAGGAATGAATGGCGAAATGTTCAAAACTAGAGTGGGAGCTGACAAAAGCTGAAAAATCAGGACATTATTTCTAAACTGCCACCACTCCCTTATTTTCAGGCCCTCATACACAAATCTTATCCCATAGTCTTAAGCCATAGTCCTGATAGTTTTCACAATACGACCATTTGTTTGTAACTCACGCCGTCCATTGACATTCATTGAAACTCCACTCTAGCCAGCTAAATTTTGAAGGGCAATTTCTAAACTGCGACTGTGCCTTCATTTTTAAAAATGTAGGTCTGGGTCTTGTGAGTCTCACACTATAAAGCTCTTCGCTGTAGAATTTATAGTTTTTAAAATACTCTGACCTGTGCCAGGCTGGAGCAGCAAGTGAAGTCATAGACAGGGCCTTTTGAACACCTGCTAATGTTTTTATAAATGTATGTTTTAATGTAACTGTGAAGCACTTTGGGCAACAACGTTGCAATTAAATGTGCTATATAAATAAATGTTGAAATGCATTTCTCACTCTATCAAGCTTGTCATGTGCACTTTTTGAGACCTCACTTGGAGTATTGTACGCAGTACTGGAGACTGTATCTTCAGAAGGATATTGATACTATAGAGAGAGTTTGGAGAAGGGCTATTGAGCTGGTTCATGGATTGCAGGATAAAACTTACAAGGAAAGGTTAAAGGAACTTAACATGTATAGCTTGGAGGAAAGACGAGACAGGGGGGATATGATAGATATGATATGATAGAAACATTTAAATACATAAAATGAATCAACACAGTAAACGAGGAGACTATATTTAAAAGAAAAAAAACTACCACAAAAAGAGGACAAAGTCTTAAATTAGAGTGGCAAAGGTTTAAAAATATCAGGAAGTATTACTTTATTGAGAGGGTAGCGGATGCATGGAATAGCCTTCCAGCTGAAGTGGTAGAGGTTAATACAGTGAGGGAGTTTAAGCATGCGTGGGATAGGCAGAAGGCTATCCTAACTATAAGATAAGGCCAGGAACTAATGAAAGTATTTAGAAAATTGGGCAGACTAGATGGGCCGAATGGTTCTTATCTGCCGTCACATTCTATGTTTCTATACTCGTTCTCCAAATATCTTTATTTTTTATTTTTACTCTATTAAGTTATTTTTACTGCGGTACTGCTATTTTGTAAGAATTTCCATGGTAGTTTGATAACCCCCCTCTCAGTGTGAATTGAAGGACATTTTTAAAATGTAATCAATAATAAAGGTTTATACGTGGATTGAAACATGAAATGTTTCTACATTGTTGTTATCAGGGACGTTTTAGCCGCGAGGCAAACAAGGCATTTGCCTTGGGTGGCATTTTCCAGGGGGTGGCAAAAAAAGCCGCCCCAAATGCCCAGGGCAAATGTCTTTTTAGCCTTGCGGCTTACTGACATGTCGGTCGGGCTGCTGGGTGGTCAGGGGGGCGCTGGTGGGCGGCTGGCGAGGGAGCACTTCCTCAGAGCTGTCTGCTCAGCTCCCTCGCGCACCGCAGAGTGAGGCTAGGAGCCGGAATATGACGTCATATTCCGGCTCCCAGCATCACTCTGCGGCTGTGTCTGTTAGTGAGTGTGTGTGTGTCTGTTAGTGTGTGTCTGTTAGTGAGTGTGAGTGTGTTTCTGTTAGCTAGTGTATGTGTATCTGTCAGTGAATGTGTGTGTGTGTGTGTGTGTGTGTGTGTGTGTGTGTGTGTGTGTGATTAGAAGGCGGGGCGGGGATTTGTGAAAACACCAGGGACCACAGCCACTGCTGACAACATACAGTACAGCCCAGCAATGAGGAGCTAAGCTTCAGCTCCTGTCAGCTCATACTGTAATGAGGCATGACGTCATTTTAGAGAGACGGGAGGGTACTGTGCTTAGAACCCAGTGGGTTGCACCACTGGATACCAGTAATGAAATACCTTCGTGGGTAAGTAAGCTGTAGGGGTGCTTAGAATAAATAAATATATATGGAGCTGTTAAGATCCTGATGAAAGCCATGAAGTTTGGCTGAAACGTCGATCAAATCAAGTTTTAACCTATGAAATAAAGAAATTCCTTTTAAAGAGACCAGAAAAGACCGTGAGTGCTTGCCTTCTGTTCCCTATATTTTTGTATATATATATATATATATATATATATGTATATATATATATATATACATACACACAAAAGGAGAAATGGCAAGGAGTAGAACAGCACATGACTGGAGAAAAGAAAAATAAACTAGGAAAGAGAAGGGACAAAGGAACATGAGCAGGGGAAGTGAGTGGGCATGAACAGGAGGATAGATGGGACATAAGTATGGGGAGTGAGGAGACATGGGTAAAGAGTCAAGGTGGACATGACTAAGGAAAGGAATAGACATGATTTGAATAAGGAGAGGAAAATGGATGAAGAATGGTGATAATGGGAAGGTGTGAGTCACAACATATAACATTGCTTGTGACATTGATGTGTCATCCTTGTGTCAATCTTGTTGCAAACTACCGCTAGTCTTATGTTCAGCATCATCAATATTGATGAGGATTTCACTTTGTTTTGGCAATTTTGGCATAACTATGGATGCTGAATGCTCATGACATATGTGCTTTAAAAATGAAAAATCAGCCGGCGTCATTTCTGACGCTTGTCCTCCAGCGTCATTCTTGGGACATCGTCTGCACACCGTTTGGTGTTATAAGAATGATGCATAACAATCATTGCAGAGCTAGCTCTATTTAAAGCGGCACTGTCATGCCGAAACACGTTTTTTTTTTAACCCCCCTCCCGCCTCCACTACATCCAATTGACCCACTAGTCGCCCCCAAATGCCCCTAAGCCCCCCACATTACCTATTTTTTAATCCTTATTTTCTGCCCCGATCTTGATTCAGGGCGCCGCCATCTTTGTGTGGGTAGGTGAAGTCCCTGTGGGACACGTCATCAGCCCACACTAGGCAGACACTGAGATTCCCGCACATGCCCAGTGAAACACCTGGACATGCGAACGGGAATTTCATCTATTCATTCATTCATCAGACAGACGAATGAGTGAATAGAAAGATCAGCCGAACAAACTAACACAATGTATCAGTGTATCTGAGTATCAGTGTATGTTTGTTCGTGCAGTTTATTACAAGGAGGGAGCTACCGGCATGCAGCTCCCTCCTTGTAATATGTAACTATAGAAGTGGCAGGGAGCAGTGCTCCCCACCACTTCATAAGCCCCCCAGTACCCCCTCTCACTCTATGGGGGTCAATATGACCCCCATAATAGCACAAGAGAGATTTAAATCTCCCAAATGCCCCTACTCACTATACCGCGAGTAGGGGCATGTCTACTAAACAGTGAGCAGCCTGTGGCTGCTCACTGTTGAAAAAAAAAGACATAAATTACAATAAGGGGGGGCGGACCTATTGTCCTCCCCCCCCTCCCCCACCCTGAGCGGCGGGTGGGGGCCATAAAGATAATGGGGGGGGGACCTACTGTCCTCCCCCCGGCCCCCACCCCTGAGCGGTGGGTGGGGGCCCCAATAAAACAATAAGGGGGGGGGACCTACTGTCCTCCCCCCCTGGCCCCCACCCCTGAGCGGTGGGTGGGGGCCCTAATAAAACAATAAGGGGGGGGACCTACTGTCCTCCCCCCC